GAAAACGCTCTGCTTAGTTGGGAAAAGCATCAGAGACAACCTCACTTTGGAATTTGAGCCTCACGCAAAGAAAGAGAGATCTTGCATGTAAAGTACTTACTAAAATCAGTTTGTAAATGGTAAACATAGGGTCTCGTCCACCTATACAGGTTCTCCAAGAATGAGATGACAGTGCAAAAAGCAGTTTTCTGGGAATGGAGTAAAATGTTTTTCTGGGCATCTCTTTCGAGTGCAAGCCCCAAAGGAAAGAACAAGTAAATCTGTGCCACCTTAGTGGAAGGAGACAAGGATGTGAAGGCTCAGGATAACTCCCTGCAGCTCATCAGGTGTTTGAACTAAACATTTGCAAAGGAAGTTTTCAGTTTCATTCCTAAAAATAAACTCCAGCTTGTACGTGAGGCTTATTTTGTAGTCTTCCATAATGTCTTTTCTGCAGTATTTTCTGGGAATTTTATGAGCTAACAAGTTTTAAGGAGGTTTTGTCAAACTCTAAGGAAGTAAAGGCACAGATCAGAAATTTCATGGCTTTCTGAAGTGGGACTTCAAGTGGGGCTTATGCTCGCTTTCTTTATTAGTGCCAATTGAAAACAACCCACTTTTTTTGCTCATCTAACTTAAATTGAAATACGGCTCTCCTCTTCTAAAACAAAAATAGCCACCCTCAAGTATCAATTACGAAGTATCACGTCACTGAAGGCAAGGGAGTCCAACCCAGTGTCACCATAGAAGTGGTTTAGGTTTTGTTTGTTTTGCAAGTGGACAAGGTCAAAAATACCTTTGAAAAAGCTTCCCGTATGCACCCTCCGTCCCCTGCAACCGAAAACAATAAATCCAGGAGTTCAGCTGCCAGCATAAGGCACCCTAAATCAGCAAACCAAATTTGCTATCTCCCCTCTGCCTCCACACACGGCTACACTCTACCGGCCTCGCTGTGCTGCAGCCCTTCACCTCAAGTGAATTTCTTCCAGTGCTTTCAGCGCCGTATTTTACAGTCTGGCTTGAAAGTGCAACCCTCATTGCTTTGCCTCTGTTTACAAGACCTGAAGTATGTCTTCAGACCTGAAGAAGAAAATGAAATTAATCTGCACAAGTTACCCTCAGACCTCCTTGAGTGAGTGAGTTGGCCTCCAAGCGCTACGCAGCTGCATTAGCACAAGCAGCCCGTGAAGTGCCGGCGTGTGGCTAGCAGAGGCCTGTGGGAGCCCTAGCCACGTGCTGCCCGCAGGAGCTCGAAAGCAAAAGGATTCCCACACGCCCTTTGGTTTGGGGTATTTTACTCTTTGTAGTAGGCTTGAGTGGAAAAAGAAGCCTCTCCTCATTGCTCCTTAGGGCCTGACTCTGCACCAACACCACTGACTAAGACCATATTTAGAGGTACTCACCCTCTTTGGGAGGAAAATAACCAGGCAAAACCAGAAGTGCCCGTGCTAGCCAGGAGGTGGCAGAGGAGTGAGGCTACCTTGTACACCGGTTTCTGTGTTAGTTTGGAAAAAATACAAATACAAACCAAGGAAAGACAGCAAAACCCAGCCCCACCCTCCATCTTGAGGAATAAGAGGATGAAACCCTTAATCACATTCCTGCTTGCATTTATACTAATTGCTCATCTTCCTGAGATCTGACTTTATGAAATTATGCATGCACACCAAGCAGATGAGTTTCCATAGAAACTCAGGAACTGAACTTTCATTAGAAAAATCTTTTAAAAAAAAATAATCTTCCAGATAAAAATGCAAATTGCCTGTCAGTGGGTGGCTTTCTGAATTTTATTTTTTTTTTTCTTCTGCACTGTAGGCAGATTCCAGCTGGACCTACATAGCAACAACATGCAGGCATTGTTTATAGCAAGCCAGACTCCATGGGGAAATAAGAAATTCAGTAGCAAGGAGAAGCTCTCAAGTGCAAATACCTCGGGGAAACAAAAAAACTGAAGTACTCAGTTCTGCATCTTCGTGAGGTTTGGGGATTGTGCAGCCTCCAGCTCTCAGAAAATGCTTGTGGTTTGCAAGGAGCAGGGTGGGGAGGAAGGGAGAGAGGAAACTCAAAGCAAGAAACTCTCCTGCATGCAGAATTAATGATGTTCAACCTGTCCTTTAAACATCCAGCAGCATATTTCTGCCGGTTCAGTTAAGCCTCACTGGAAAGGCTGACACCATCTGTCGGAGCTCACTGTGGGTGAAGGAGTAGGTCTCTGGGCTGGGATTTGGGAACGTTGGCAGGGCCTGGCTTGGAGAGCGGGTTGGCCACACCTCGACCTCCGCTTGGGCTGAGGCCTGAAGCCCAGCATCTTTTGCCCACACCACATGGAAATCCAGGCGTGGGGGCGAGAAGGGGACATGTTCCTGGTCAGAACAAGAGGGAATCAGGATGGTGGGGGAAGGGCCACGGACCTGGGCAGCCTTTGGCACTAACAGTCGTGCATGTAAGCAAGGAGGAGGCAGGAAACCTTCACCTCCCTTAGCAAATGTTTTCTCCTGTGTTTCTTCCCAGAAACACATAGCAGTTTTTCACTCATGCAGTTACACTGCGGCATCAACAGGAGGCTTTCCCCTGGCTTTGGGGGAGCCTGAGGTCACCCGTTCTGAGGGTTCACAGGTGTTTTTTCAGCTAAACTGACGTGCTCGAAAGCACTGAATACTGACAAGCAAACATTCACTGCACGTACTGGTCGGCATCAGCTTCAGCATCTCCCCTGGGGTGACGCCCCCCCCCCCAGTACCGGGGCTTCGCGTACAGCCTCCTCCCAGTGCTGCAGAACGGCTGCAGGGACCTCAAGCCCAGGCGAAAGAAACGCAGCGGCTCCACCCTGGGGAGCCGTAGCGGGGAAGCCATGCCAGCCCCTGGGCCTTGACCGGCGAGGCTGCTGGGGCAGACAAGGGAGCTGGGCCGCACGAGCGGTTTACGATGAGGTGGATTTCACTGCGGCATTGTTGAGAGGCGCGAGATGTCAGCCGGGGAGGGAATTCCCCTCCTCGTTGGCGAGGGATGACAGGCAGCAGCTGCACGGGCTCGCTGGCCCCTGTGCCTCCGGGGCCAGCAGCCCTTTGGGAGCGTCGAGAGGTTTGATGCCGCGTCGTGTCAGGGTGAGGGCAGCGGTGGGTCCCCGGCCACCAGAGAGCACAATCGGCTCTGCTGGGTCAGCGCAACAGGAAGCGTTTTTAGGAAGAGTGGTTTTGTGGTTGAGGACAAACTTGAGCTGCGATAGCTCCCATCTATTCTTGGCTCAGCAGCAGATTTGCTGTGGCCACACTACTTGCCCTTTCTATGCCTCATTATCCCTGTCAAGGGGGTGACTCAAATTATAATTGCACAAATTCCTTCCAGTCTGTCATTATGTGCCTGTGGTCGTCTCCGGGCAGCTACCTCCAAAGGAACCAGCCTCTCCCATGGGGGTACCTCTGTGCCACCTGTGCTTGCTCGCAAGGGGACGGTAAGATTAGGCCCCATCGCCTTGCCGTTTCCCAACAGAGAGAGAAACCTAAAGAAAAAGCATCCCCACTGCATTTCTGAATTGCCAGGTTTGATACTGAGGTGATTGTTCAGGTCAAAGTTATGGGCAAGAAAGAGGCAGTGAAACTTTTCACAATACCACCAATGCTTGATTAAATAGGTGTTTCTTAATTTTTCTCTCAGGCAAAGTAATGGGTTTCTGTATGTATTAGTACTATCACTGGCTACAGGGTCTTAGTCATTCTGATGCACCTGCGTCTAATGACACTTTTGGAAAAGCAAACAAGACAAAGGAAAAATCTCCACTACTTCCTAAAGCACCACCGTGCTTTTATCAGGAATTTACTTGGGTTGTATCTGCGAGAGATTTCAGGTTTCTTATGCCTTTTCATATCAACTAAAGGCAATTGGACACGTTAAGCTAATGCTTTTCTTTATACAGATGCATCCACGTACCACGCAGTCCCAGGAGAAGCGTGAAGTCAGGCAGTCATCTCACCTGCCGGCCTTTCCGCAGGGGAATGCAGGCAGAGGCCATGCAGAGCTTGGCAGGTGACGTGGAAGTGTTGGCTGCTTCGTCCACAGGCCACGCCTGGATGAAGCTGGTGGGACGTTCACCTTGGTGTGTGGACCTTCAGGAGGAAGCAGGAAAATGCCACTAATGCGTTATGGCCCGCGAAGCCCGTGCGGTCATCTGGGCTCGGTGTGGTTGACCGCTGCGTCATTAAAAGGGACCCTGGCTCATCAGGTGCCTTGTGGGTTCAGACACATCCCTGTGAGCCCTATAGGAAAGCATGTTCTTCCTACCATTTCTTTCATCCTCCCCCTCCTGTTCCTTCCAGATGGTAACACCCACTTGTGTCTTTTCTTACCCTAAGGACAGCTTTTTAAACAAGGTTCTTCCATCCTTCTCCTCCCCCACGCTCCTTTAGGACCTACATTGGAGTGCAGGAGGACAGAGGGCCCCGTGCTGTTCCGTGCAGCCTGCCCCTAGAAGGCTGGGAGAGGGCTGCGTCCCTCTAGCCCCATTTGTTAAGAGGGAAGATCTTTCTGTGTGGTCAGGACGTAGGAGCTGAGAGACGGCCTCAGCCTCAGCTGTGTGTTCCAGATGTGCAAGAGTTAATTTAGATACTGGGTGTCATTGAACCTGTGTCTGTTTTCCTGGGGATTAGAAGCCAGCGTGACCTACTGAAGGACAGAGGGATGCTTAAAGGGCCTGTAACCTTTCCTCTATATAGCACCAGTACACGCTCTCCCAGTAACACACAGCAGGAGCACTTGGCAGAGCTGCATCAATCTCTGCTTAAAAAAAATGACTTTCACAATTGTTTTTTTAAATTACACATCCCAAACAAAAAAAAAAAAAAAAAAAAAAAAGCAGAGCTTAACACGTGATTGCTTTTCATCTCCAGAAATAGGTGGAGATCCCCTCCCGTAGGACTCCTGAGCCTGCACTCGTACATCTGCCCAGCTTGCTGGGAGCTCGGGGCGCTCCGTTTCTTCCTTTGTTTTGTGCCATTTTTAACTGCTCATCACTTCTTTGTTGACAGGGCCTGGTGCTGAGCAGACTTGGGCGGAGGGACCTGGCCCAGAAGGTCCTCAGAGATGCCATCCGTCTCCAGACCACCAGTCACAGGGCCTGGAACAGCCTTGGAGAGGTCTTGCAAGCCCAGGGGAGAAACGAAGCAGCCCTCGAATGCTTCCTCACCGCTCTGGACCTTGAATCCAGCAGTCCTGTCATCCCATTCACCATCATACCCAGGGAGCTCTGAAGCTTTGCCCCGCACCTAAGCACCTTAATTCTGTGGACAGACACCAAAACCAAACAAATAAACAAAGAAAAAGCCCAACAGAAAAGTGCCATTGTAACCTGGAACTGGGCAAAATAATGCCAGGGCAAGGCTCAGGTCTATGTGTTTAGCTGAGACAGGCCTAATTGTAGAAGAATTTGCAACAGGCAGCAATAGAGCATGCCTTTTTCTTCACAGGTGCCTGGCTAACCTCCTGTTCAAGGCTTATTCCAAAGTGTTGGTTCAAGGGGATTGTGTGTAGAAAGATCATGCTACAGCACAGCTGTTCAAAGCACTTGCACCTTTCAATTTTTGTTAGAGATAAAAACCCCAAGCCCTGAATTAAAGTGCAGACCTGCTGTAAACAGGAGTAAATGCACCAACTAACTTAACCAAGTTGTGCTTAAGCGTGTAGCTTCCTCCACACAGATCTACCAGGACAGGAATGATAATCGAATCATGTAGACATGCAGTATATGCTGGTTACAGAATTCTTTCAGCTTTTCCTGCCTTGCTGTTATATACTGCGTATGCTCACTGTATTTAGTGTGGTGCTTGCCTAGACCAATTTAAATTAAAAAGACTTTTTTTTTAAAAAAAAAGCTGCTATTGCAGTATGAATCACAAAAGCAGAAAGACCAAAGACCAAATCAGTCCGCGCTAGGATTAACAACATATATGTATCTCCAATTACATATTTCTTGAAAAGCCTTCCATGAAGTAGCTAAATATAAACTCTGAGCTTCATTCTTGTTAATCACCTATTGCATCACTTTTAGTGAGGAATAGAGTGGTTACCAGTCCATAGTGACCGAACTCTGTGCTCTACTGCATTACCATTCCTGGCACAAAGCATTTTCATATCCATCTTTTCATGGTACAAAAGATGGCAGCAGTCTTTTAAGGGAAAGAATGCTGCAGGCAGTATGTGTATATATGAATTACTCCTTTCTTAAAACCAAATCTTTGGATTGTTTGTAGAAATCTCACGTTAGAGGTACGGAGCTGAGCCTTCAGCAGAGCGGGGTCACTTTACATATCGTATCCGATGTAACAGCGAAGAGCTCCTCATCCGCGCAGCCCCCCCACGGCTGGCACAGCTGGGGCGGGGGACGGGCTGGCGGACCCCTTGCTAAGCTGCTTGTCCTCCCCGGGGGCTCGGCAGCGAGGCAGAGCTGTACCGTGCTCTTCCACCGCACACAAAAGCCAGCCTCGTCCAGCCCAGTCCCAAGATGAAGATGATGCAGGAATGAGCTGCGGGCACTTTCCTGCTACAGAAAGCTGGGGCTCTGCACCCGTTTCTGTCCAAACAAGATTTGTGACTATTTCGTAAGTAGGTTTGCACTAAAACACACTTTCTACTATGATTCTGCCCAGTATTGTGACCTGCAACTAGTTCATTTCGGAAATAATCATATCCTCAGGCAATAAATGAGTAGGGGTTATTTCTTAAAGAGCCTGAGGCTCTGGCAGCAGACTTGAAGTCAGCGTTGTTTACAATTATTTGGAAATCTGCAGGATTTCCAAATAATGGAGAGGTGGGCCCCTCACGCTGCTCCCAGACCGCACCATCGCAGAGCTCCTGCCCCCAGACTCCCCTCCAGGCGCCCACACCAAGGGAAGTGTGTGGCTGTCAGGATTTTCTCAGCAGCCTGTTGCAGTCCCAGGCCAAGATATTATTTATTATCCATTAAATCTTGCGAGTGCAATAGCCCAGCTTATTCCTCTGTTCACCGAGGGATCTGGAGTGAAAGCTGCGCAGCCATGAAAGGTGCTCAGCCCAGGTCGTCTCCTGCTTTCCAGTGCCACACAAGCACCGAAAAGGGCTTTTTAGGCCAGAGGAGGGTTTCCAAGGAGACAGTGTTACCCGCCCACGTTTCTCATTTGCAGCAGCACCATCAGCAGAGGAGGAAGTAGGTATTAAAGTACCAGAATTAAACGAGTTTCATGAAGACAAGAAGATGCAGCAGAGACTCATTTTGCTGTGAAGGATGCTATGAAGTCGGCTTGCTCCGCACTGCAGGTGGGAAAGAGGAAGGGGAGAGATGTTGTTGTTGACAAGACACCTAAATTGTTACCCAGGTGTTTTAAACCCAGTTCCACGGTCAGATGCAATCTGACAATAAACATACATAGATATATAGAGATATTATGTTCCCATATTTGTTCTGCTCCACAGTTCCCAGGGAGGGAGCGAGCCTTCTGTGTAAGACACGAAAAGAGTCGCTGTGGTCCGACATCGCCGCTTTCTTGTGCAACGTCTGCCTGTAAAGTGCTGCCATAGCAACTTCTGCCCACCGGCCGGCTATTTGAGCCCAAGCTGTGCATCCACCTCTGCAGCTGAGGAACTGCTTTAAGAGGTCTGTAACGTAGCTGGTCTGGGGCCGGGCGGCAGGGTGCCTGTTCCCCAGCAGCAGCTGGAAAGCAAACACTCGCAGACCCATTGACTCCTGCACGTGTAGCTCGTAAACAGCCACCAGCCCGTCACATTTGGTGCCGTCGGGCGAACTTGGACTTGGCGATAATCAGCCTTGCCCCAGCAGTCGTCTTCCTAGGAGAGGTGCAAACGTGCAGGAGTACTTTGAGCACCTCAACCAGTCGGATGTTGCCAGGGTGGTCCCGTAGTTGTCGTGTGCTGGCAAGCGTTGGAATTGCGGTGCCACGAGCCTCTGCTCCAGGTGTGGCAAGGAGGACGCACACGAGTAAAAGCCATCAGCATCAATAGGAATTAAATGGGTGAGGTACCCTCTAGCAGCACAGCACACCACAGACCCTACATGGATTGCAGACGAAGCGCATACTGGACTCAATCCTGAGATTTGCCGCGTGCTTCCCAGAGGATACGAAGCACCTGTTGGCTGGAGGGGTGTTCTAGTGGCCTGAAATGCTCTGTGCAGTGCAGGAAAGAGGGCGGTTTTCTCAGACTTGCAAGTATTTTGGGGGTAAATCCTCTAGCTGCAGTCGTTATTAGTGCCCACCAAAACAGAAGCCTTCCCAGGCTTACATGCCACCTCTGTTCTTCAGCATGGATTTTGTTCATACTTCCAGGTACGGAAAAACAAAGGCAACTACTTCAGACAAGCCTATGTATTGCAGTATTTATTTAGATTTCAACACTGATAACTCTAATAGACCTGCTTCCCTGAGCTCAGTAAGTAATACTTCTTTGTGTAGCAGGGAGCTTGGCATGCTTAAAGCTCAGGGTTTGAGACTAAGAATATAAGATTTACATCCCATCCCTCATGTGATTATTACAGATGATCGTAAGTAATAGGAGTTTGGGGATCAATAAGTGAAATACCAATTCTGCGAGTTTTAGCATCGACTTGAGTCCAACAGAGTTTTCTCATTAGTTTAGAAAGATGAAAAAAGACGTCGTTGCCTAAAGGATCCAGGTAGACACCCAGGTTGCTCTTGTTCCACCACAAAGTTATTTTCCTTTGTGTTGGCAGGGTGCATACAAAAGAAAAATAATTAGCTTCTATTTTTCTGTTGTGCAGTAAAGGAGTAGTATTTGCTGTTGCCTTTGACCAACAAGAATATATTGTATATTGTAACAAAACCGACTTTGCCTCCAGGATAACGGAAAGAGAAGCCCAACAGGCCAGGGAACAACTCCCCTCCCTGCCTTACCCCATGTAAACTGCCGTTAGCTCCGCTGGAGTTGCTGGTAGGTAGGAGCATTTCCTCCAGCTGAGGATCTGCCCACTGGTGTACTCATTCTGTACAGGGAGTACAGCGGAGCTGCCATATTCCTGCGCTGCACGAGTACCCCAGTCCGTTTCTATTGGTAACAGTTCATGCTACTGATTATCACAATGCTTCAGAAGTGCTAATTATCTTTTCTTGGTAATGACTAATAAATCCAAATGGAGAACAGTCCTGGAGGGTGTTTACTTTAAAATTCACTGGCTGGGTACCAAGGTAGGCACAGCACTGACTGCTGCAGTTTGAATTACAGTTATTTTATCCAAACAAATGTTCCATTTTCAGAGAGTCTTGGTGAAGAGACAGAGTTTGGCTAGTTTATATTTTGGTTTAATAACAGCAGAGTGGGAAACAATCCTTTTTAGTGAAGAGACATCGCTGCCATGATCTTTTTTCAGCCAAACCAACGGAGATTTGATAGTTGCAGTTCGGCCTAGGAGAGGGAGGCTTCCCAGAGCAACCGCACTGCAGCGATAATTGCCTCGGACGGAATTGTATTACAGGCGTGTTTGACAATTATGCAACGAGCATGTGTAGCTGAGACCTCTCTCCCTCCCCCACTGAAACATCCATCAGCGCAGCGATGGTGGCAGGAGGGGAGGTAACGGGTGACCCAGCAGCTGCCAAGATGGTTCCTCCGACTTTGCCTGTAATGAACTGGCTCGTGCCTTCAACTCCAGCAAACCAAGGCAGGTTCCCAAGTAGCTGGATGCTAAAAAAATCCAGCCCATTTCCCCACAGAAACACGTGCCGGTCTGTAGCTAAAACCGCCGATAGGGACACAACACGGCACCGTTGCGGCGCGGCCCGTGACGATACCAGTAAGAACCTCCCCGAGCCGGTGCACACAGAGGCGCTCAGCTTTCACACGTACGACTGTTCCCTGCCCACCGCTTGAATACTGTTAACAATGGGTGTCGGAATCGGTTTTTCCGTGTAACTTTTAACTTTTTTTTGTCATTGTAAGACGTTTTCACCAGATAAATAAAATTGACCCTGTGGAAAACAAAAAATGCTCCTCGTTTTTCCTGCCAGTTTCAGGACTTTTAATGTATTCATGCCACAGATAATTCAAGCATTATGAAACAGCCGTTTGTTATATTAACTGGAACCTAGTGTGCCTAGCAAGTTACCAGTTGCAAAGGGTATTTTGGCCTACACCCTGTAGTTCATGGGAAAAACGAGAGTGAGCATGCAAGCGGCGTGCTTTCGGAGAGGAACAGAGCCAGGAAAAAGGAGTAATGTAGCTTCAGATGTTTGGATTTATGGAGATT